TCTCTCTCTCTCTCTCTCTCTATGTGTGTGTGTGTGCATGCACATGTGTGTATTCTTTTATTAATGTATTATTGACTGCATGTTATCAATGCGAGTTTGTGTTTACAGTATATGTACATTTAGATATATCCGTGAGATCTTAAAAGCTTTTATATTAGGCAGGTCATCAAAAAAAAAAAAGTAGCACACTGTTTAAGTCATGAAAAAAAAACTGGATGAACTCCAGCATGTCCATATGTGCAAAGATAAAAAAAAAAAGACAGAATGGTTCAGCCATGCAGTGAAGTGAAAAGGAAATCATTTCACCCTGTAATTTTCTTTAAAAACATACAAACAGGATTGTGTCACTTTTCTAAAGACTGCTTCTTTTTTATATTTATCAAGCATCAGCACTGGTATTATTAGCCTTTCTCAAGGCAAGCACTGCAATTCAATTGTTTACGGCACAAAGCACACTCCTCCAACGAGTTATTCTGTGGAATTAAACCTGTGACCTTTAAGTCACAAAGCGCAATCTCTGCTCCACCGCTGCCCCGACACATAAAAACATTTTGTAAAGTGCAAAACCAAATATGGTGCCAACTTCACTAACAAGACGACAGACTCAGAAGAGAGTCAGTTTACATAAAGGTTCAACTGAGAGCCCTGAGGCAGAGTATGGATGTAAGGATTGTCTCTGTAAGATGAGTAATAGGATGAAACTGTGTGACAACTGAACAACACTGTAAACACAAGTTACTCATGAGTAAATCATGAAATACAGCTAACACACATGATTATTCTAGTCATAGAGTGTGTGTCCACCTCGCCTCTGGTCTTTGTCGTCACCAGCATGTTTCCCCCTAAAGTGCTGGCATGAAGTAGCCACACCATGCAAGCAAAGTTAAATTCTTTCAACTATATGGAGGTGCTCATGCATTATAACAACATCAGCGGCTTGATAAGACCTCAGGCTTTGCTATATTTGAGTAAAAGGAGAAAAAGGGACTAAAGACAGGGTTGGGGTGGGGGGAGGACGTGGATCAGAGAATAGAATGAATATGTCTGCAAACGTAGTATAATTCTAAAATTACTTAAATAGTCAAAGAAAGAGGCAGCTTAATGTTCTGACTGATCAACTAAAATACAAAATCATTTCTATACAAAAATTATCAGCTTTCTTAAAAATGGTTATTTCCTGTAATTTTATATATAAAACAGGATTATTTTTTCATCAGACTATGAATGCATCCTGTTTCTCTGTCTACCACTGTTATTCTTGCTATGTGTGGGTTTATTATAGATTGCACAAGTTGACTTATTGGCAGATTGTTTTCAGCGACACCAATGATCCCACTGCAACGGTGTCTTTTATCTAGAACAAGGGTCTGCAACCTTTACAATCAAAAGAGCTGTTTTTACGTCTTTGTTCACTATATTAAATTTGTTCAGATTCGCAACAACCTGCTACAACTGTGATTATCAGCTATTGACCAATGGGCCACTTTAAGTTTGTCGGAAAATACTTTTGTGGCCAGTAGGGGTGACATTTTAAAGCTAAAACAATCTAATGATTTTTAACATTTATTGACATTTTTACAATTTAAGACAAATGAGAAGACCAGATTATTGTAAGGGGGGGAAATAGTTTTTTTAATTAAAAAAAATATATACTATGAGCTATGCAGACCTATGTAATTTTTTTTTATTATTGTGGGAAAAAAAAAATTAAGTATAGAAAAAAAAAAGTTAAAGTGAGTATTTGCAAAAGAATTGACAGTAAAACAGCTTGTTGTTTGTATAACAATCAATAAAATTCAGTTTTGTGTTTGTTTTGGTTGAAGCTTGAAAAAGCCGCTACAGAGGGACCAAAGAACCGCATGTGGCTCCAGATCCGCAGGTTGCAGACCCCTGAACTCACCTGCACAGACAGTTTGAGTCGAGAATCATCACAATCACCTGGAACACTTCACACATGCAATAAATGCTTATCAGGTGGGGTGGGGGCACCTACCTGTGGTCGTGGGTGTCCTTTAACAATACACCGAAGCACTAGTGTGTCCCCTTCTCTGATGGTGTAAATTCTCTCACTTATGTTATCATCCTTGACGTTACACGCTGCACCGGAGTGCACAATCTGGGCATTGGCTGGAGCTGTGAACACGCACATACATAAAAAAACACACAAACGCACAGACAAGCCATGCACGCAGACACAGACAAACACAGACAAAGAGAAAGCATGTATTTAGTAACAGCACCACAGCACCAAAAGGGTCATTCTCTTGTGGATGAGTGATACAAGAGCTGGTATTGATGACTCAGACAAATAAATATATCACATTACTCCTGCGTCTGCATAAACAAAGCCATTTCCCAAAAATGCTGTAGGATTATGTTGAACAGTCAGAGACACAGAAATGTATTGGAGAACTGAAGCCTTGGCAGCCATTAGAAGGTCAAGATGTTATTACTTGACTAGGAATAATGCCTTTGTTCAGCTAATTGCCTGTGACTCATTACAATATTAGTCTGATAAAACAAGTATATATCAGAACCCTTGATATCAATTTAAAGAGTTACAGTTACAGGGAAACATATATTGATTTTTTTTAAAGTGTGTGTTTGTGGAACATGTTTTGCCTGCAGCACAGTCAAATAGTGATGGACTAAAAGAGGTGAAATAAAAAACACTAGAAGCAGCTTGAGTTTACATGCAAACCTGCCTTTCTGTTATTAGATTAGATTAAATTCCATGTGTGATAGTTTGAAGCTGCAGAATATAGCTTTGAGGCAGCTAGAAGACATGGAAAGTAAGTAAGTTTCTTTCGGCTGCTCCCTTCTTCAGGTGTCAGCCAGAGAATTCATATGAAAGATTTGGCAGTTTGTTTTATGCGTGATGCCCTTCATAACACAACCTGGGCTCAAACCTGCAACCTCAGGATTACAAGACTACGACACTGACCACCGAGTTACCGCAGCCCCTGATTGAAGACATGGATAAACCCAAAAATTTAAAAGGCATCTTATTTAATGTAAAATATATCAGTGCATTATTAGTAAAAAAATAAAATAAAAATCATGTGTATGTATAAAAAAAATTTGAATTTGTTAAATACTAATTCAAACTCAAAGAAAAATAGCACGTGTATATCTGTTCGGGGAGACGACGCAGAAAACTGTAAGAATGCAGAAAACTAGTGATAAAACACCCGCTTCAAATATTATCAGCCATTAAATGGCCTATTATCAGTTGTTATCATCCCCATAGGTAGCATTCAGACTGCCCCTTCTGTACCTCCTAGTGGGTTTAAAGGTACATTGTTAGCGCTGATAATAGGCTCACGTGGTTAGGTTCAGAGTAAAGGGTCTGGGGGTTAGGTTTAGGGTCTGGGTTAAGTTAGGTTTAGGCACAAGGGTAAGGGGGTTAAGCTTAGGGTCAGTGCTCTGGGTCGGGTGTAAAGTTAGGTTTAGGCAAATCACAAATTTTGGCAAATTCAGATGGACAACAGGATCATCGGCCGCGTGTGTCGCCCTTCGTACCCTGCTGTCTTCTGCAGTGAAGGAAATTGCAGCATCTGAATCTACAAAAGCCGACACGAGCAGCGCGTTCAATTTAAAATAGTTTTGT